TTGAATGCAATTGCATGAATTTATGAACATGTCTAGACCTAGCTCTTCAGTTCCTGGTCCTCCTTCATCCAGGCATTGACCATGGGATACTAGGACACAGAATTCTCAGTCAGCAACAAATCCACCCCCATTTCCTCACACTTATTATATACAGGAAACAGATTGTGAAGTTATGTAAGCCTAGCAGTCAGAATACTATGTACTGCATGGTTTGTACAATGACGGGGCTTGTGAAACGAGGATCTATTATAACCCATGTAAATGATGAACTTACTCAAGAATGTAAGTCCAAACTTATGTACATATAATAATACCTGATAACTTGTTTATCAGTTATTTTGGAGAAAGTTTTTGTAAATATAATACTTTAATGGTAGACACACATGTACTGCAGCAGTACATGAAATTTGTATAACTCGATCAGTTTAATGTAAATGAAATAGATTTTTTCCCCTATATACCCTGATTACAATACATGTACAATTGAAAAATTAAATGTATATCTCTAACATTGATATCTTGAATATCAGTGAGTGGAAACATTATGTCTTACATTTAGTGAGTTGCAAGTCCCAACCACTTTTTCTTAGTATGATGTGTCTTAACCTCAGTTACTCAGGGTTTATTTACTTGTCAAGTTCAAGATAATGTTTGAATGCAAGCAGCAACTAATGCCTAGGTCATTTGAGTCATTTTTGATAATTTTAATGTCAGTTTCTGTCACCAGATAAAGCATCCCTCAATAAGCTTATGTTATTTGGAAAGAGTTGTAGACCCTTGAGGAGAATGTTCCTATTCTAATTACTAGAATGGAGTTTTTCCTGCAATACTGCCAACTTTTTAACAGAGAGATTGAGATTAGAATGAAATTCAAACCAATTTAGCATACCATATTTGGATTAAAATTTGAGACAAATCAGTATTGAAGATTTGATAATTTTTAAAATGAAACCACAGGCCCTGGGATTATGGGGATTGAATCAGTTTCAAAGGATCAGTCTCCCCCATCTTCGCTAGCCAAGGGTGATGATATCCGCTCCTCTTCCCTTTTCAAGAAAAAAAAGAGAAGAAATTGAAAAGAGAAGAGGAGCGGATCGTCACCCTTGTGTAGCGAAGATGAGTCTTCCCTAGCAGAAGGTGCACTAAAGTTAAACACAAAGACACTAGAGATCAGCGAACAATTTTGATTTATGATTATAGTACAGTTGAACTTCGGTATCTCGAACATGGATATCTTGAACACCATGGATATGTAGTCCTTACCACATATTTGTTAAGTATTTTACCATATATTAACCCTCGGATATCTCAAAGTTTTTTTCTCGGCCCCTTCGAGTTTGAGATAACGAGGTTTGACTGTATATGTAATTATAGTTATAGGATAAGTTCATAATACATTTTAATCCTATTGAGAATGAAAATGACTTAATTTGCTTAATTTGACTTAATTCAATTTAAAGTGTGTTCACTGTAACCAAGTTTTCTGTAAGTTAATCATTTTAATATTTATCTCTGGTTTGTTATAATTCCTTGACTTATAGAAGACAACACTTTGTTTGTGATAATAATGACTAAATGGAACACTGATTCTAGCTTTAAGTTTGAAAAATATGATTTAAATTAAAAAAGAAATTGAATAAAAAGATGTTGCATGATATTATAGATGACTCCAAAGGTCCGTGGCCTTATATTATTTTCTTCTTCATTTCTTACTTGATAAGCATTTAATGTAAAAAAACAAAAAAACAACAACAACAACAAAAAACAGTGTTCCATGTACCATGTGTAGTTGTGTACCAAAATATTTATTATTGATGTTGAATACTGAAATAGTTGTAGATGCTAGTTTATTTTTTGTGTAATCCACGTCTGTATTTTGTGTAATCCACTTCTGTATTTTGTGTAATCCACTTCTGAATCAATTTTACATTTCCTCGAGGATTTTTACAGTGTAATAATAGACATAAAAATTAAAGTATACATCTGTTTCATTGACCAGGGGGTGTCATGAGCAATACGACTAGCCGTGTTTAACATGGCTTTATTCTGAATATAACAGCTGTTGAATCAGAGTTGGGAGATTTTTTGATATCATATTGGATTATCTTTTGAAAAGACTAGACAAATAAACTTGGTAGCATCTTCACTTATGATCATATGTGAACATTTATTGATCATTTGTACACGTTTGTGGGAGTGTTTTTAAAGATTTAATCAATATGAAAACTGATGATTTGAAGGGAGGACACATTGCTGCAAGTGAGTTTGTTTAATGCTACAAAAACTCTTCTTTTTTCTTTTTTTTTTTTTGGAAGTTTTAATTTTTAAATTTAATATTTACAATTTTTCTGGTCCACAAGACTTAGTGGTAGATTTTTTATACAGTTGAAAAGTTTCTACTCTCTGTACATTACTAATTGGAATCCAGAAATCCCCCCCCCCCCCCCAATAAATTTATCCGTAGTCCAACACCACAAAGGCTGAGGATTTCAAAGGTAAATATGAGGTAAAAGAGTGTTTCAAATTCATTACGTCTCTTTTAGATTGAGAAGTAGGACTTTAATTTTCAGCATTTTATTTAACATTTCATTTTGATTTATCTATTTTAATTTGAACATGTTGAAGTTACATGTAACAAATGAGGATAATCATGGGTCTTCCTTATGTGTAACAGAAATAAGTAATAGTGTATATATTTCATTTGCCAGTTAAGTTCATTGACCAGCTCAAAGGTGAACTTCATGGTCAACTCTGAAGGTGATATTAAAAAAAAATATCTATCAAATTCTTTTTTTAGAAAATGAATACACATTTCACTAATTTGATAAGCTTTTAAAGTTGATCCATTTATGTTTATTTAGGTAAGCCTAGGTTTTGCATAGAATTTAAAAAAATTGTGAGAATTTTTAGCCTTCAAAGCGCCTCAAATGAGACAGCTCTATCATATATTGAGAATATTTAAAAACCTTTAAATTCTTCTCCTTTTTTATTTTTTAATTTTGTTTTGGTTTATAAACAAGACATACACCATGTACATTTTTTTTGACTGAGGGTTTTGATTAAATTTTACATTCCATTATCTTGCTCACTGATGAGAATCCAATCGGTTCCTTTCAACTTACCAATGTATCTTAATGTAGCCTGTGTATTCATGTAGAATAGTAACCTACAATGTAGTTCAGTAAGAAATGTAAAACTTGCTGCACCTTTCGTTGGAGACAGTATACAGTGGAGTGATCGTAAAACTTGACACACTGTGTTGTTGGTTGCTTGCTAATGGCAAAGTGTTTAGTTTAATGAATATTTCACTTAAGCACCTGTAGCATACAGGCAGAAGACAAAATGAAAAGTATTAAGGAATTTTCTTCTGAAGGTCAGTAGATCAATAGAATATTTTGGGAAACTACAGACCATACTAATACCGTCACAGTATTGAGCGCTGTAAGTAAAAGGTATACCTATTGATCATGTTAATTAGTAGACCTGCATTAATTGATTTTGTGTGTTTCCATTTGTATACATCAAGATGAATTTTATAACATGTTTACGGAGATTTTAGTGCATATCGTGTTCATAGGTTATCTGGCCGTTAGATTACCTGGTGGACAGGTAAAATAAAATCAATGTTTGCTAATTAGACAGGAATAATTAACCAGGGATCAATCTGTTGAAACAGGGGGCTATAGACCTGTTTTGCTAGAAATTTCAGAATTTACTCTAATTGCAATATATATAATACAGTTTTGACCATGTTTCCCTAGACAGTCATACTGAAAAAAATTATAACCAAAGATTATAGAATAATTGAATAATTAATGTTCTCTAATAAGAAGAGAGTGGCCAGTTAAACCACCATTAGAGTCAATCTTTAAATATAAATCACAAGAATTTATATAATTAAATGCCTTTGGTTGTCAGTGTTTTAATTGCAGTATAAAACATCTGTGCACTATATAACCATGCTAACGAAATAAAATATGCATGCATAATGCATTAGCTTAAAGTAAACCATAAGACATTCATGCATAATGTATCAGCTTAAAGTGCATTTGAAAAAAAAAGTTTTTATACAAAAAATATATCAATCATTTTAAATTTATGTAAATGATTATTATTCAAGGCTATATACTGAATGTTTTCAGGGGTAAAGAATGAGGAGATTATCCCTTTAACAGTGTATAATGAGTAATAAAGTGGAGGGGGGTAAGAATAAGTATAGTATGGAGGGAGGGTATCAATTAAGTCAATAGGGGCCAAGGGGCAATGGGAAGGGGTGCTTAAAAGTCTTGAAAAAGAGAAAAGGAATATCTTTGGAGTTTTGTTTAGATTCATAGAATTAATAGCCCAGTCAACACATGTATAGGGGTAAATCTTAATTGCTTTGTAATTTGTAGCTCATGAAAGCTATCTTATCATAGAAGTTATACTGCAAGCTTGATATAAATTCTAGAACCTTTTCTACAAACAGAACCAGTTAAAGAGTTGAGAAATTACCGTAAATATATTGTTAGAAAATATTGTGACTTAATGAGCATTAGTGTACATGGTTAACACAACATACCATTTAGTCCAGAAATTCGTTTGTTAATATTTGCAGTAGGCTACAGTAACTGCAATCAGTAATTTCCCTAAATATTTATAAAATTCTGTTGAGAATGAATCAAAATTTTTTGTTGCCTATTTGATGGACATATGAGGGACCTAAATTGTTACATTATCTAATTGTATCATTCTGGCTTTGTCTCCATCTCTATGAGTATTTCTGTTTTGCAGGAGGTAAACTGCTGTATACTCTCTGTCAATTTTTATGTTGCATCTTAATGAAACTTTCTTCAAATATTTTTGGCATTGAGATGCATTGACTCACAGAGTTTTGAGGATACATCCCAAGTCATGGTCATCCAGGCTTATTAGGTCACTTATGCATGTTCTTTGAACACTCCTAAATAATGGAATGTTATTTTGTTGTATTTTAATGTTCCCTTTCCTTTTTTTTCCAGATTCGTCTGAAAAAGAAGTCAACACCAATGATTCGTCTTGGCAGTGTTTGACAGACACTATGTTAAAGCATATCAGTTTAGTTCTTCTGACTTTACAAAATGCTTGTCTCATTCTGGTCATGCGGTACACCCGCACCAGAAAGGGGGACATGTATTACGCCACAACTGCAGTGGTGATGTCGGAGGCCCTAAAGGTCTTGACCTCTCTGGCTATTTTGGCCAATCAAGAAAAGACTTTTTCCAGCTTTCTGTGCTATCTTAGGGACAATATATGGAGGCAGCCCATGGACTGTTTGAAAGTGTCTGTTCCTTCTATTATATACACTCTGCAGAATAACTTATTATATATAGCTCTTTCCAATTTAGATGCAGCAACATTTCAAGTAAGTGTACCATAAAAAAATTGGCATCTTTTTTCTTTCAAAGTGCATTACATGTACTTGAAAAATTGAGGAGAATTTAATGTTCATTGACCCTCTTATAAGAAAGATAACTCTCATTGGAATTAATGACTTATTAATAAATTATTCCCTTAAGAAATTGAAAAGTTGAAATGCAATTTAATTTCTGTCAAATTTTGCACCCTATGGTATGCTGATATGTTTTGCATTTCAATTTAACTCAGATATCTATTGGAAAATCATTATCATTACCTGAGTGATCAGAGAGTTAACCTTAAACTGACATGTGATCTGTAGGCATCATGTTCTTTGTCACTGGCCTGAGTGGGGCAGTGGTTAGAGCGTTTGCTGTAGAGTCGCGGAGTAAGGAGTTGATCCTTATATCGTGGGTTCAAATCCCAGTGTGGGACTCAATGTGAGATGAGTCCTTCGGATGAGACCATATAAACCAAGGTCCCATGCTGCAGTAGGTGCTGGCACGAAAAAGATCCCTCACTGCTCAAAGGCCGTAATCGTTGAGTACATGACTGTCTAAATTTGCAGCCCTCCACCTAGAAGTGGTGGCTTCTCAGTATGAGTAAAAAAATTCTCGAAGGAACATTTAAGCAAACAAACTAAATGTTCTTTGTCAGTGTGAATTTTATGTTACATTTGATGACAAAACATATCTGTATACATTTGTACAAGAGTTTACTAATTTGCTTTATCAGTTTCTGGAAAATAAATCTACTCTAATGGGCTTTAAATTATCAGGTCTATGATTTTGCTTTTTTATTCTTTGGCAAGTAATCATTGCAGTGTTTAAGTTTGCTGAAAATATACATTTCATGTCTTCAATGTGCACAAAATGACTTTTAAATTATAAATGAGTCATTGTTTTGTTTTGTTTTGTTCTGTTTTTTTGAATTAGCAACTTTATCAAATTGGAATACAATGCAAAATAAGCTCATTCAGACTTTATGTTTTCCACTCAAGGACAAAATAAGTGAACTGAAAAATGCAACAGGAGAATAAAAGGGATTGACTTTGCATGAGCTTTCACCTTTCGGCCTCAAATCATCTTAAGATTTCTTAAGTTAGAGAGATTCATCACCTTAAGCTTCATTGCATAAGCTCAAAGAGAATAATACTCTCATGGAAACCATTTAATGATGACCTTGACATTTGACCTTTTTCACCTCAAAATCAGTAGGTGTCTTCTTTTTGTCATAGGGAGTTATGATACATGTATTAACCTCAAAGAGACCAAATCATTATCGTAGGAAACCATTTTATGCAAAATATGAATTGATGACCTTGATGTTTGCCATTTTGAACTCAAATTATTTTAAACGACTGAGAGATATATCCGGAAACTAAAGTGTTACATACAGATAGAAGGACAGATCCCCTTTTCAGCAAAAGTGGGGGGGGGGATCAAAATTTAATACCATAATTTATTCTACCCTTATACAGTATTTGGAATGGTACCGGTACATGTTTATCATTCTTCAAAAATTTTATTATATCAATGATTTTTTTTTTTTCATATATTTATTTTTTTTTATTTCTTTTTTATTAGGTATCGTATCAGCTGAAAATTTTAACCACTGCCTTGTTTTCTGTCCTGATGCTGAACAGGAAACTCAGTCCTCAGCAATGGAGTGCCCTAGTGATATTATTTGTGGGGGTGGCTTTAGTCCAATTCCGACCCCAAGATTCAAAATCATCAAAAATGAACACAAACCAAAATCCCATGATGGGTTTATTTGCTGTGATTCTCTCATGTTTCATGTCTGGTTTTGCCGGAGTTTACTTCGAGAAAATTCTCAAGGGCACAAAACAATCTCTCTGGCTGAGAAATGTCCAGCTGGGAAGCCTGGGTGTGATCATTGGACTAATCACCATGGAGATTAAAGATGGACCAAAAATTCAGGAGCATGGTTTTTTCTTTGGTTACGATTACACAGTGTGGGTAGTGATTTTATTTCAGTCTCTTGGCGGACTCCTTGTGGCGGTTGTTGTGAAGTATGCAGATAACATACTCAAGGGTTTCGCTACCTCTGCCGCCATCATCCTGTCTTGCATTGCTTCTATATACTTGTTTGACTTTAGGCTTTCTCTGCCATTTACAACAGGTGCCTTTTTAGTTATAATCTCAGTGTATATTTATAGCAAATATGTTCCCCAAAGTAGCCATCCACAGAATTTAGTCACTATTGCTGTGAAAGAAAAGTCACCATCACGAGTAATGTGAGGGTTATATTTTTGCATGTAAATTTTGTTTTGATTGATAAATGCTCTAAAGGGCATAATTTTTCTTGTTATATTATAAAAGTGTACACTTGTAATTTTTTTTATAAGTGTGATTTTTCACAAGTATATTAGTTCTAAGATATGTAATCATTGCATGAAAAGGGAGTAGTTATATTCGTTAAACAGTATATGTTAATATACTGGAGCATGTTGCGGAGTTTTCTTTTACCTTTCTTTACTGCCAGTCCCATTAATTTTATTCATCTCTAAACCTTCCTCTGGGTGTATAGTTGATTGTGAAGTCACATTTGCTACTTTTAGAGTGAAACACATTAAAAATGTTTAATCAAGCACAGACATACTTAATACCATCTTTCAATGATATCATAATGTTGATTGTAAAGGTCATATGGATAAGATTATCTGTTCAATGGTGCAACCATTAAGTGTATTAATGCATTTCCTTTGTACTAATCTGTCAGTGTGTAATGCAATCGTGACATTTGCGACATCAAATTGAGAAAAATAACATCACAGTGTAAACATATTTATTCAGAAAACACATTCACACTGAGAACAATAGCTTGATCATTTGTTTTTTTATTAACTCAATTTGATCATGATGATTGGCACATACAAGACATAAGCAAATTATCAGGAGCTACTGCTACATGTGTTCAAAAATTTTTGGATGAAACCTGGTGCATAATTTTTTTTTTAATTTTTTTTATGGTTTGAGTCAAAATTCAGCACAAATTCCCCATAGGAATAGCAAGAAAAATTTAAGAATAGTGTAGTGAAAGAGTATTTTTGAAATTTATCTGTGCAGTGACAAACTTTAGTGGCCTAAGTTCCAAGAATTTCTACTGTCCCAAGGATATATTTGTCCCAATTTTTTAAGGAAATAAAGAAGAGCATTTTTTTTGTATACCGTATATACCGGTATATAATTATGTGTATCAATACAATATTAATATCTTTCGTAATAAACACATTATGTTTTTCATTTTCAGCAAATCTAGCAATTCAACAGAGGCCTCAAATTTTAAACTGCAAAGTCATAATATCTTACAACCATGAAAGACTTGTACAAATAAATATATACAATGTATATAATTATATATAAATGTATATAGGGTGTTAATCTAGTGAGATCATAGACATATGTTGCCCCCGAACAATTTTCAGGTGACATGTATTGTTATTGCTAGACCTATAATTTTGTCCACAAATGGTTCTTCCAGATGGTTGGGACAATTTTAATGAAACTTCAAAGATATAATAATCACCAACTAACATGGCTGAAGCTGTTAAATTTTCCAAATGGCCACAGATTAAATGAAAACAGATGAAATATGCGAAATTTTAAGTTTCAATATTCTCAGTATCTCCAATGCCAATCTTTTTGAAACTTTAAAGGATTTTTTCTTGCATCATTTCAAAGTGGTTTCTGCAAAGAAAAGGGAATTGTTTGGACAAAGTCAGTTGCTTTTGCCATGGATAGATTGAAAGCATAAGATTTTGTAAGACAACACTTTTTTTCTTTTAGGAGGTAAAAAAGTTGAGGTCACGTTACCCTTGTGTATTGACATTTAGGTTAGTGGTCCTGTGAAATAAGTGATAACGTTGTGCATATGTATTACCATATTATGATTAAAACTGGAGTAAAACTTTTTATCCCCTAGGTGGAAGTTCGAGGTGACAATCCTCTATAGTAATAAATGCTGTTGTTGGCTTCTCCTCAGTATATTTAAGATTTTTTGTAAGATTGTGTTTCATTTCCATCTATGAAAGTCTGCAATATAATATTATTATCTATGTAATCTATATATATAAATAATGCATATGCTTGTGAATGAAAGGTTATTGGGTTCATAGAAAACAGAACTGTCTAGTCATTTAGTAATTGGAGGGAAACTGCAATTATCCTGAATTTTATGAAATTGATAATTACTTAGATGATTTTAATTTTATTTTGATTTTATTTTAAATTGCTATAAATTTGTGCTTTTTTGGCCAGTATTACAGTTACTTGTGGCAATAAAAATGAAAACATACCCACATCATTAAAAATAAAGTCTTTCTTGAATTTAACTGAAAGCAAGCTTAACTGGAATACTTTCATTCCTGAAATTAAAAAGATATTAAATTTAACACTTGATTTGTTTTAATGGTCTTCAGCTTGCAGACTAGCAAAGCAAAATGTGTTATACAGTGTGCCTTATACAAAGTAAGAATCATCTTTTATAAATTAATAAAAGAGTGATTAAAGAAGTTGTTAATAGGATGAACTGTAATTTACTTTTATTCAGTTCATTCTTTTTTGCAAGATAAGAGCAATAACAATTGCACTTATTTGTAGGTCTTTATAATTATTTGTGGATTTCCCCCCTTCATTTGGAAAAAAAAACTTATTTTAAGTTATTATCATGATTATAATGTAAATATCAGTTATCCCTGAGAGCTTTATTTTTGCATGCAGAAAATCTAGCAAAATTACACCAAAAATATGGTTCTTACCAATAGAATGTTTAAATATTTTCAATATCAGATTATGGTTATCAAAGGAGAGATAAAATGTCTCCATGAAGTTGATATTATCAGAAATTACTGTTGATAGTGTTGTGTAAAGCTTATTTCATGCATAATAATAATAGTCATGTATAATGATGTAATTAAAAATACTAAAGGGTTACTTAAGTTGATTATATATTTTTAGCTCTTCTGAGCCAAAGGCTCAAAGAGCTAATGCTATGGCCATTTGTGCGGTGTGCATAAACTTTTTAGAATATGGGCCATAACTAAAGAACCCCTTGGCCAATTATCGTCAAATTTGTCACAGGGTATCCTTTGCCCAAAGGCTCCCATTTATAGTTAAACTAGGGTTGTGACCCTTAAACAAGGAGAGATAATTAGGAAAATAGAAACAAAAGTACTGGTTGCTAAAAAATCTTCTTCTCAAGAACCACTGGGCAGATTATCTCCAAACTTACACAAAAGGATGAGGATATGTTGTAGATTAAAACTTGTTCAAGGCATCACCCTGGGGCAAAGGGCATGGTCTCGAGGTCACTTCAAAGTTGACCAAAAATTACATTTTATTAAGATGATGATATTTTGCTTACTATAAGGACTATGATCATCAAATCTTGTCAAGAGTAGGTCATGGTGATCTTTTTTTTAAATTTAACAGCCATTCTTTTTCAAAATGATTTAAAGGCATATTTTGAACAAATTAAGGCCTATGATCATCAAACTTTGTCAGTTGATGCATCGTGGGTCCTCGGAGTACATCAACTCAAAAGTAGGTCACCTTGACCTACTTTTTGAATTTTATGGCTAATCTTTTTCAAAACAATTAAGGTCATTAATTCGAATACTGAGAGGTTTAGATTCATTAAATCTTGTAAGATGATGCATCTTGGGGCCATAAAACATTTATTAAAAAGTAGGTCACAGTGACCTACTTTTTGAACTTGGTAGGCATTCAATTTCAAAGCGTTTTAGAGGCATAATTTGAACATTTTAAGGCCTATGGTTATAAAACTTTGTAAGTTGATGCATCTTGGGTCCTTGAAAAATGTCAACTGAAAAGTAGGTCACCGTGACCTACTTTTGAAATTTATGGCTATCTTTAAATATTTAGGGTATTATTTGGCTTAGAATCATCAAAATTTGTCAATTGATGTATCTCGGGTCCTTGGAGCAGGTCGACTGAAAAGTAGGTCACTTTTGAAAATTTATGGCTTTAATTAAATATTTCAGGTACTAATTGGCTTAGAATCATCAAACTTTGTCAGTTGATACATCTTGAGTCCTTGGAGTATGACAACTGAAAAGAAGGTCACCTAGACCTACTTATGAAATTTATGGCTGTATTTAATATTTTTTCAGGTACTAATTGGCTTAGAATCATCAAAATGTGTCAGTTGATGTATCTTGGTCCTTGGAGTAGGTCGACTGAAAAGTAGGTAACCGTGACCTACTTTTTCAATTTATATGACTTTAATTAAATATTTCGGGTTCTAATTGGCTTAGAATCATCAAACTTTGTCAGTTGATGCATCTTGGGTCCTCGGAGTAAGTTGACTGAAATGTAGGTCACTGTGACCTACTTTTGAAATTTTTTGGCTTTATTTAAATATATCAGGTACTTATTGGCTTAGAATCATCAAACTTTGTCAGTTGATGCATCTTGGGTCCTCAAAGTATGTCATCTGAAAAGTAGGTCACTGTGACCTACTTTTGAAATTTTATGGTTATAATTTAAAAAATATTTTAGGTATTAATTGGCTTAGAACCATCAAACTTAGTTGATGCATCTTGGGTCCTCGGAGAATGACAAGTGATAAGTAGGTCACCACGACCTACTCTCAGGTACTTATTGGCTTAGAATCATCTTGGGTTCTCAGAGTGTTTCATCTAAATTGTAGGTCATGATGACCTACCTTTGGAATTTCAAGGCTTTATCTAAATACATGTATACAGGATACTTAGAGGCTTCAAATAAAATTGATAAGTTGTACAGTTTATCAGAAGAGCGATTCAAGGCCCTTGGGCCTCTTGTTAAATGTATGTTTGTGAGCATTAAACTTTATTGAGGGGGGTTATTTTGATGGGTACTTGTATTTAACATGCATAAAAAGAGGTTTCTTTTTGTTGCTCTTTTTTATGGCATCGATTGGTAGTTTTGGAAAATAATGTAAAATGAAGGCTTGCACAATTTTTAGCTCACCTTGATGAAGACAAGATGAGCTTATGCTATACCCCCTGCGTCGGCGTTAGCATCGGCGTCCCGGTTAAAGTTTTAGGAGCAAGTCCATTCCTAAGTAACTATAAGCCCTACCTGGACCAAACTTGCATGGATGATGCATCTAGGGATGGACACTACCACACTTGCTTGGGATGCTGGATCTGACCTACATTTTCCAGATGAGTGACCAGGTTAAAGTATTTGGAGCAGGTCCATTCCCAAGTAACTATTAGCCCTACCTTGAACAAACTTGCATGGATGATGCATCTAGGGATGGAC